TGCCGTATACACTGCTGTCTTTATTAATAGTGAAACAGAACTTCATTCATTTGAAGTTTTGAAGGACAAACTGTCACTATTTACTACAAAACCGTTTTTTGCCAATAAACACATCTGTATAATTTATTACTAATAGTTAATTTACTTGCCTTTTGCTTACTATTGTTATATTATGAAGTTGTAAACCATTAAATAAATACTCAGATTTTCTAAAATGTCACACATGACAAAAAAGTGAAATAACCCAAGGTTTGAAAATTATAAGTGAAGTTAAAAATGACTCTGTTTTGCTTATTATTGTTAGCAACCCTGGGAAAAGGACAGAAGGTTGGAATCTGTACTCAATACAATTACAGGGTTTCCTACCCAACTTGCTTATCTTCGTACTACAAAATAAGATCTGGTGCTTGCTCCGGCAGCACATATACCAAAATTGGAACAATACAGAGAAGATTAGCATGGCCCCTGCACAAGGATGACATGCAAATTCATGAAGGGTTCCTATTTAAAAATAAAATAAAAACAAGGTCTGACACATTGCTTACTGTTTTGTGAAAACTGGGACTTTAGACATTTTCCTTTTCAGAAAAACAACTATATTTCTTTTCTATCCCAAGGCCTCTTTACACACCAACCAAAATTCTCTAGGGCTCCCCTGCCACTGAAGAGCAGACCATGTGTCACAAAGTCCTAAACAGGTTTTGGTACATATGGCTAGGAAAGAAACCTCTTCAATCATTCCATTTAATACAAGACAGCACGATTTCATTAGCTTTATTGTGAACCCACATTAATCCCCATCCCAGAAACTCACAGGTTAGTGTCCACAAAACTGACCATCCTACTGGCACCAGTCAAAAAACACAATAAAACAAAAACCAAATTAAAACACTTCTCAGGACTACATGATATCTTTCTCATGATTTTGCATTATATGGCACAACTTTCTAGTAGAGTTTAGACAGATGGGCAATGAGGAAAATAGATGGGAAACTGACACTAAGGACAATGTGTAACTAACAGAAAAAACAGGAAGTGAAAAAAATGTACACATACTATGATTTCACTAAAACGAGTATGTACAGATACTATATACTCAATGAAAATATGACTGAAGAGATCAGGGTGGTAGAAAATGGGTACATTCTTTGTTGTTTTTTTTTTATAAAGACTATCTAATTTGAAAACAGTGGCTCTGAAAGGGCTATCTTCAGACCATTAACATCATCAACATTAGCATCAGCATCACATGGTAACTTGTAAGATGCAGTTCTATATCACACCCCATACAGACAGAATCAGAAACTCTGGTTTCTGTACAATCTGTTTTTAACAAGCACTTTAGTTAATTGTGACACACAAGTTAAGAGCTTGAGAAACACTGATAAAACTGCTGCAGAAAGATTTTTACTATAAAGGAAAATTAATGGTAGCAGGCATTTTCAACCTAACATGACTGCCCCACCAATGTCACTTAGAGTATGTGTAACTTAAAAAACTTTTTGTAAGCCTAGCTAACATA